TTTATAATTATTAAAAGTCTCTAAAATATTTTATAACTTTTTTTTATTTAATTAAAGTATTTATAAGAAAATAAACCATTAAATATATAAAAAATAATAATTAAATAATTATATTAATAGAAAATTGAAGATGTTACAATGATTATTATGTTTAGTATTTTTTTAATTACATATATTTATTGTATTGCTAACTTTTTCAAATGTACGAGCCTAACGTTATAATCCAATCCTTATATTGTTTTCAGTATAGATTATATTTAAATTCATATATATGGTATTATAATTTTTCTAGCAATACTTATTTTAAAAAATCATTAATAAAATTAAAAAATTTTACTATTTAATTTATATAGACAACAATAAATTGACAGAGATAATGAATCAAATATTTAATTTGATATATAAATAGTAAGAAATAAATAAATTGAATATAATTAATATATTAATATACTACTATACGAAGATAACTACTATTTTAACTATGTATGTTATCATCAAACAATATTTATAGTTTACTGATATTATATAATATAAACAAAATTATTAAGTACAAAAATAATGTTTTAAAATTTAAATCAATATTATAAGAGATAATATATAATTTAAATTTTACTAATAATTAATATAGAGAAAAATTGATTAGAAATAGAACAAATTAATTGATAAGAATATAGTTGAAAAATTAAGTAAGTATTTTAAATTATTTAACTAGAATCTTATCAACAATTTACTATATGATCTTGATATTTTTTATAGTTAATAATTTATTTTAAATTTGATATGAAAATATTATGATATAATTAGTTAATATTTTAAATTAATATTTTATTAATGTTTGATAATAAAAAATAAAATAAGGATAAATACATTTTTTTTTAATTTTATACTAATTTTTTTTTATAACTAACAACTTTCACTTAAAAATATAAAATTAGCTTTAGTTTAGTGGTTATTTTCTTCTCTTAACTTTTTAAAGGTGTAGGGCTCAACTCTCACTTGGACAAAAAAAAACAACTCATGTTTATTGGTTATTTTTAATACTAAAATTTTAATATAAATAAATATTATATTTTAATATATAAATTATGTTTAAAATCAATATTAATAAATATTTTTAAATATAATAATTATATTTTAGATTTAATAAGTTAATTAATAATTTATTTAAAATATTAAAATTAAATTTATAAATAAACATGATTAATGAAAGAATTGAATTAGATAAAAAATAAAAAAATACTTTAAAATACTTTCGTTCACTATTAATATATACATTTTAATTTATATTATAATTTAAAGAATAAAATAATGATCAAATTAATCTCGTATAACAAATAACATAAGATTATTTTAATCTTAATATTCAAATAAACTAAAAAAATTATTCATTATTATTTGACAAATATTTTAATTTATGTATTACTCATTATAAGTATTTATATATAAATAATTTTTAATATGTAATAAATAAGTATTTATAATTTTATAAATTATATTATCATTACAAATAATAAAAATAAACATTTTAAAATATAAATTATTATTTAAAATATAAAATTTATAATAAATAATTTAAATTGTGTCATAATATTAATTTTAAATAAAAATTAATAGATTGTTAATTATAAAAATAAGTATATAGAGAAATAAAGATTAAAACATAAATCAACGATAGTAGTAATTGAAAAGAGTCAAGTTCAAATCATGTTTAAGACATTGATATATTTTCTAATATTCATTAATTTGGTAATTCAATTTGGGTTCCTCTATTTTTACATTAATTGAGTTTTTGAGGATTAAAGGGTTAATTAGTGACTGAATGAGTTTATTGTAGAATTGACTACTTCAATTAGATTTTAATAACTTGCTAATAGAATAACATTAAATATTCATATAAACACTTCATATTTTCTATGATGAATAATTTGTCACTTGTAATTAAAAATAAATCATAATTTTTATAATAATCACAAATGAATTAAAATATTTGTCATAGTTAATATATTTTTTTATGTTTAATTAAAATTTGTATTAGTGACAATTTTAAATTAAGAAAACAAAATTTATAGATATTAATGTCAAATTTTTGTGAAAACATATTTTAGTCAATATTAATAAGATTACAGTGACAACTTATTTTTTCATCATTATTGTAAATAACACTAGTGACAAAATAAAATTTAGTCATTAATGATATATTATTCGTGACAAGTTTTACTTTTATCACTATTTTAGTCACAAAAAATCACAATTCTTATAGTGCTTGAGTATGTATTTATGTGTAAATTGTACCTTTTAGAAGGGTAACGTAACCTATGGGGTATTCTTACTTATTGGATTTGGGTTGGAGGTGCAAGGAATGGTATAAGGAAGGTTAGAAATCCATGAACAATATAATTTTGCATTTGAGACTGTCGTATTTTGCTTCAAGCTATCATAGTCTCTCTCTAAGAAGAATTAATTTCATCTCAAGCGGCCTTAGGCTCCCTCAAGCGAGTCTTAATAGAGAGTTTCAAGTAATTCTTGTTTCAAGCAAGTTTTTACCTTACTCCAAGCGAGCTAATCGCTCAACATTGGCTCCTAGTGAGCTAATCTTGCTTAAGTGAAAGATTGACTCTCTTAAGTGAGTAGATGACATAATATGCTTTCGTGGTCTTCATGAAAGTGGTAGCCTTAAATATTAGCTTTCAAATGTCATTTTAATCACTTAAAAATGAGGTTTAGAACTCGAGTGATTATTAAATTAGTGAGTGAATGCCAAACTGTCAGATTTAGGCTAAAATGATGTAGTTTTGTATTTTTTTAAAAAATAGTAAATGACATAATTAACTTTAGAAGTCAACATAGAAATTAGAGATAATTATCTTATATTTCTATGAAAATTAAGCTCAATTTGATAGCATATATATAGCTTTAGATAAGGTGTTCGAACCACCTAATGTCCTAGAAGATTAAGTTATGAAAATATAGTTTGTGACTATATGGTGATGATGATTAACTTTACCTTTTAAGTATTTGATCTTATGGATGGTTTGGGGTGCCTATATCAATTTCTATGAAAGATAAATCATGGGAGTAACTAATTGTTAATAAGTTATTATGTAAGTTGATTGTTAACGATTTGAGGTATTTTAATGATAGTGGTGTCTAAGGACTTACATTTGATATTGATAAGGCTGCTAGGCTAGTTATGCAATGATTTAAATGTTTAATGACATTGATCTCTTAGTAATTATGATTGAGGTGTTAACAAATGATTAGACGATCTCATAATGATTTTATCTTGAGGTGTATCAAATGATGTTGTGTAATTGTTTTATTGAACAACAAACATGTGTAATCATTGTACTAATTAATGATGATGATCAATTGTGGTATGTGAGTATGTTATTGATATGCTTGTGAGCTATGTATAATTTGTAGTGATGCAATTCCTTATGCCATTGATTGCTAATATTTAATTGATTTAGTTAAATTGTTAATTTCTATATTGAGAACAATTTATGATTATATGATATGAGATTAGTTGATAGTGAAATGATGTGATAACATGATATGATAATGCATAGATTTTGTTTGACATTCATCATATACGTAAAAGTGTTTTAAGGGTACGATATGCAATTAATGAATATAGATCAATTTGAAGGCTTATGGAATGGTACTAGGTTGATCGTCACAAGACTAGCTAATCATATCATTGAAGCAAGAGTTATGACAGATAAAAAATCAGGGAACATAAACTACATACCTAGGATGTCCATGTCTCCTTCTCAATCTCCATGGTCATTCCAACTTACTAGAAAACAATTTTCTATCCTTGTCCCATAGGCCATGACAAACAATAAATTACAAGGTCAATCATTGGAAAATGTTGGATTATACTTGCTTAAACCAGTCTTTAGTCATAGATAGTTATATGTGGCAATTTCTCGAGTTCAATCTAAATTTATATTCAAGATTTTAATCCATGACAAAGATAGAAAACCATTAAACAATCACCAATGTTGTCTTCAAAGAGGTCTTCAAAAATTTATAACAGATATTATTTACCTAATCCAAAACTAACTACAATATTATATTTGGATCATGTTTGGTATCAACCTTTACCATTTTTAACATGAATTTAACAAAAAAAAATTAATTAATTAACTAACTTGTAATGACCTTTCCCATTTGAATATGCATCATGTCTAAACTTTTACTCATTTAAATCTTAGATGAAAGTTGTTTTAATAATCATTTCTAATGTATTGAATTATTACAAGTTGTCATTGACTACGTTAATCTGATATATAATTATAATGCATAACAAAATATCAAATTTAATTCACCATTTATGGTCAAATCTTTTGATAAGCTTTATTTATTTATTTATAGGATAAATATGTTAGTGAGTGTCGAAGTTTGACCATAAAATTTTTTTTTTTTTGGATAACCGATATTTACTCCATGAAGTTGTTTCGCCTATGTTAAATTTTCATGCATAGTTTTAGTTTTAGTCTGTTTGATATTTTCTCCCGCTCAAATATACCTACTTATTTAAGATTTTGCAATTTTGATAAGGTGTTCAAACAACAATCTGTTTTTGTTCTCATTAAACATAAATGTCTTTTATCAATACTTATTCTTATTTTATAAGGTGTATTAAGAAAAATGATGATATTCAAATTAATAACCAAATGTGCCTTTGCACGGATTACTTAACTAATAAAGTAATTAAACTCGTTGGCATTTCAAGATCTGAAAAATCCAGTTTCCTCATCGAGTTATAAGCACAAAATAATGTACTTAAATGAAGTTTATTTTATCTAAACACCGTGTTCATGTCTGAATCACAAAACTCATATAGAATGGATTCCTTTTACACATAAGTCTTTAGGTATTCATCCATGCGTGTGTAATTCACTTCAGGATAAAGCAGAGATGCTTCTTCTCCATCCTCTCCAATTTCAAAATTTGTTAAACATCCCTCGTAGAATATATGATAGAAGTGCCCAATCCCCACTTGAAGTTTATAATCCAACCCTGCACATCAAATTCACAAAATAAGAAATCACAAATTGTCTAAGAAAAAAATGTTACTTTCCAAATAAATATTGAATGTGTTACCTTTCAATGTTGTAAGAAAGCCTTCTGGGGTTATATATGTCTTCTCCAGTTCTTTTCCAATAAGTTTCTCCCAAATTCCAATAAGCTCTGCTTGGGAGAGAATATTTTGTGGTGGCCTTAGGTACAATGTTTTGTTTAGGGTTCTTGGATCATCTATTGTCTTGATTGTATATGTTGCAACATCATCTTCATCCAGAAAAACAGCTGCAATCGTCACAAAATGTCAAATTATAAACCATTTTATTGATACACTAATGATTAAATTACTCTTTTGATTTCTCATTTAATTTTATTTATTTAAATTGATCATTTTATTATTAAAATATTTAATTTGATCCTTAATTTAAAAACATCATACAACCGATGTGATCATTTCTACTCAACTGAGATCTACAACATTAACTTCTAGTACAAGTGACACAATAAAAATAATAAATAAAAAAAATAACACGGGTGACATGTTGTTACTTGTACAAAAGTTTAAACTATTAGTATTAATTGGACAAAAATAATCACATAGCATCACTTTTAAAAATTAGAAATATTTTAATAATAGAGAGACTAAATTAAACAAATTATATAAAATAAGAGAACAAAAGAATAATTTAATATAAAGTAAAAGATAATTATTTTATTTGATGAAAATCATATTGTATAATTTTTATATGAAAGATCAAATTAAATATACTATTAAAAGATTGATTCTCTTAATTTTAAGAAATTCATACAATGTGGTCATTTCTAATCAATTGAGACCAACAATATTAACTTTTTGTAGAAGTATCACAATAAAATAAGCAACACTTATGACATGTTATTACTACATTTATATAAAAGTTCAAAATATTATTATTAATTAGACAAAAATAATCACATTGTATCATTTATAAAAATCAAGAGGCCAAATTAATTTTTTTTTTTAATAATAGAGGAACTAGTTGAACAAATTATATTAAACGAAGAAACAAAATAACAATTTAATATAAAATAAAAGATAATTATTTTGATTTGATGAAAATCATATTAGAATTATAAAGGTACCTTTTTGATTACCATCTCCAAAGAGATGCACCTTGTCCCTTGGAGGCAGAAAAGAGCCCATCTGAGAGAGGCTACCAGCAAAGTAACCAGCAAAAAGATTTGCAGAGATGTAAGTGAAAGGGATGTTGGCTTCCTCTATTGCTTTCCTTACAGCCATTTTATCTTCAAATGTTACCCTTCCTGGCTCTAATGCATCTCCCATCCTTGATGGGTCTACCCCAAATTCCGAAGGCAAGAAACGCTATACAGGGAAAGAGAAAAAATACTTGTAATATGTAATGATTATCATTTTTTATATTTTACTTATTAACTAATATATGTAATAATATAACCCTAAGCGTGTAGTTCAGCGATAGGGGTTGATCCACGCTTAAGCAAGGTCAGGAGTTCGAATCCTGCCTTGTGTATGTAGCCGCGTTAAATCTTGGGATCAGCTATCTTACCCTTTAAGGTGCCTTCAACATAGCGAGGAGATTAGTCACTGCTATGGACGGTCGATACTCCAGGGACGAAAAAAAAATATGTAATAATTTGAACAACTTTTTCAGTTAAAATTTTAATAATTTCATTATAATCAAGACAGTCTCTCACCGGCCATAATATAGATATTTTTTTTTATATGTTTAAGATTATTTTACACTCTTTAAAAAAATATTAAATATTAGTGTATTAAGCCGAAAATATTCTCATTTAATATTTTAACAAAACAAGAGTAAAGATGGAGTCAGAATAACAATTGTATTTTTTTTACACAATAAAATAGCAATCGTTAAAGAAAAGTATATGTAGAAAAAAATTAATATTACTTAAAATGTGTAAAATATAAAAAAAAATAACAAAAAAAGTCTTAAACATAAGAAATAAAATTTGACATAAAGAAGTCAGAATTATTTATAATGACACTTTAATTTTTGTATATCATTATATATAACATTTTTTTAACATAATTATTGATAAACATAAAAAAAAATTTTGAGCCACATAAAACTAAACCTTGAACTAGTGCATTTGCTATTTTTAAATCTACTATCATAAGTAAGTTCATATCATCATTTTCGAATTTAAATAAAAATTTAGCCATGTTTTGATTAAAAAAAAAGAGGGAAGAAAATGAAACCTTAACATTCCCAGCTTCTGTGATGGCCTGAACAAGTTTGAGCTGCAGCGTGATGCAGTGGGTCCTGATGTGAACCCCAGAGATGGCGCTGATTACAACATCGACCTTCTTGACCGCATCCACGAGGCTCTTGTGGTCAGAAAAAGAGGCCTCAACGATGCGAGCACCTTGCTTCTTGAACCGTAGCAGCATCTGCACCTTCTCTATCTGGAGTCCCAACTCTGGCCTTTGCATCACGTACGTTTCATGCCCCACTGCTAGGCTTGCCTTCACTATTCTTCTCCCTATGTACCCTGTTCCACCCACCACTAGGACCTTCCTCTTACCCATCATTACTTTTCCTTCTCTTCATTTTCCCTCCTTCTTTCTCCTTTTATACCTTCATTACGTGGTAGGTAGTGGAGAATTGGAGATGCCAAGAACAATTTGTATACTTTATTCTTATTGGACTGTACCTTGACTATGTTCACTGGGCTAGTAGGTATAGCCAAGTTTGAACAATAACAACGAAATTAGGTTTTTTTTTTTTCTGTTCAATTGACTTTTAAAATGTACAAATAATCATATATTCAATAGAATAAATATAAATAAATTTATTTTTAGAGCAAATGAATTCATATATATATATATATATATATATATATATAATATCATAATCAATTGTACATATACATTTGAAAAAATGTGAAAAAGTTTATTTATTTACTTATTTTTACCTAATATCTTTACTTCTACCTTCTTTAATTCATATCAGTTAAACAACCTTTAGTATAACTTCCTCATTTTTCCTCTTCTTGTATCCCCTTTATTTTTCACCAAATGCACCGTAAGTATTTCTCCCATTTGGAGGTTTTTTCTATCTTGAATTGGGGTTTTCCATTTCTCCTAAATTTTTTCACAATTTTTTTTTCTCCTTAAAACATAAGATGGACGATATTTTTTTATATATAATGGACATTTTAATTTTAATGGTTGTGAAACTGCTTTTTGAAACAATATACAGGTGACTATGTTTTTAATTATTGACAATTTCATTGACAAATTTATTCATAATAAAATATAGAATAAGTTAAAATAGACAATAATTTTAAATTATGGATATTGTTCTTATCAATAATAGTAAAGCAAGAAACATGTATAAGATACATTGACCCTACAAAAAATAAATAAATAAAATTTTATCCAAATTTTGGCTATACATGAACATTATGTGTTAAGTCAAAAAAACGATATTAAATTCTTTAAACTTCAAGTTTTAATGATAATAAATATACATTTTTCTAAGAGAAAAATTTTCTAGATTAAACTTTAAGATGAATAAAAGTAAGATGATCACTTATTATTATTAGGACATTAAATCTCATAGATGAAACATTTCATTACAAATACGTTATATGTATATCATTTATGATGTTTCATTATTTAATTATATAATTAACATGATATATATATATATATATATTTATTGAAATTTATGAAAATAAAAATAGTTTAATTATCAGTTTATTACTGTTCAATTTTATTAAAATATAATTACTTTCCAATAGTTTAATTGATGAAAATAACATTTTATATAAAATATTAATAATGTGAGAATAGGTGTTATAATCCATTGAAATTCAAATTGTGATAGATGCACAGTATTATTTTCTCTGTCTAAGAAGAAGTAATATTTAACGGGACTTGATGTTTCTCTTCTGGTGGGAGACAAAGAGACGTCTATTTTTAATTTGACATATTGGGGACCATGACCATCTTTAGAATTTTAAACCTGTTAGGATTCCATTAACCCCTAACGGGCCAAATCTGGTTCTCACTTGTTTGGGCCTATATTATTTTTTCTATTCACAGTCTAAAGGTTCACTAAAATCAGATCACTTTTATTGAGTCCAACTAAATGTAAATAGTTAATATAAAAACTACAAATAATATATGTAGCCCACATTAATTATTAGAAATAAAATTTCTACCATTTTTTTTGTTAAAAAATTGATTCTTTGCTACCATTTTTTTTCCAACTAAAATAAACAATTTTCTACTTATTTAACATGTTGGTCTAAATTGGTATTAAAAAAATGCTAGTCTAAATTGTTTAAAAAAAACCGTTTATTTTCTTTACAAATAGTTCTCTATTTTTTAAGAAGTAAATCTTATTTGAAAAATCACTTTTTAAAAAATTAGTTTTTTTAGAATTGTTTAATTTCAAACAAAGCCAATATCATATCTACAATTTTCATTCCATAATGTTTAATTTCACAATTTTAGTTCTTCAATCAAGTGAAATTTACAATTTTGGTTCAATGATTAAATGCACATTAGTTAACTATTAAAATTATAATATTAATTATGATCTCATATAAAAAATATGACATTAAAAATACACCAATTAATGTATACCTATTATAAAAATAAATTTTGGTAACTATCATTTTAGTTTTCATTTTTATATTAGACTATTATTCATATATTTAACAAAAAAAATTCTTTCAAAAATAAAATTTTATTTTTGTATTGGACACTATTACCCTTATACTTATAAAAAAATTCTTTAAAAATGTTTTAAAAAATAAATATATAGAAGCACAAAGTATCTCTTTTCCTATTAATTATATATAATAAACATGCATGTACAATGGCCAGATTAAAAATTTATTTTTTAAAAATTCTTTTGTCGAAGAATAAAAGTTTCTAAAAATGCTCTTAGATAAGATAGATATATGTGTTTAATAAGTAAAGGTTAATTAATAAATAATTAAAAAAATAAAAGTCAAATTGGATAAAAAAAATTTTAAAAAATCTCTTACAAATTAGATAGTTATCTATAAAATAATATTTCATAATTGTACATTATTTTAATTTCTTATGTAACTCAAATTTTAGTTATTACATATATCCTACTAAATAATTTATACTATCATTTAAATAATTTTGATGAGAAAAATTTAAAGTTTTTTTAAAAATTTAACATGTAATTCAATTTTGATTTATCAAATTTATCTTTAAATTATACTTTAATATTTTTTAAAACAAATTCGACAAGAAAGCTTTTACGATTTGTTTAAGTTATTAATATGTAATATTAGCAATATGTGATGTTAATTTTATATATCTTAATTTTGACAATAACATAAAATATAAGGTTACTTAATACAATATCTAAAAGAGTTTATATATACTTCGTCATTTTCAGATTGTTAGGTGATAAATATTATTTCTTTATCTTGAGACACTTTAATTATGAGTTTTTAATTTTAAGTTGCACTTTTATTTTTGTACTACCCACATCGGTACCACATCAGCTTATCAAGTTGGACCGCTCCCCAACCGATAAGATAAACTGATAAGATCACAATCTTATCAAATCGTAACCAATCTCATTATCACTTATAGGAAAAG